TTTACCTTGAATTAATGGAAGAATAATAATTCGATTTTGTCAGTTGCTCGATATTTGCACCATTGCAGTTTCATCCAGTCGTCGGTCTTCGAATTCCCGTGCTTAAAGTACACTCTTAATGTGCGGCTAGCGAGCTGTGTAAACATTCATGGCTTCATGCCAGACAGCGCAGTTAATGAGTCACGTTCGATAGCCGTTATCGCAGCGCCATTTACCCGCATGTAGCAAACTTATTGTGCAGTGAAAGTTAGTCATGTTTTTGCCTATTGTTTGACAATCTGCCATATTGATTTTATCATTTTGAAATTATGAGTAATCTCTGTGACCCAGCGTGTCGAATGACTTCTTTCTGTATTGCCTAATAGAAGAGGTCGGATTTGTACATGCGAAATGTTTTGCTTCAGTTATTCATGGCGGCTATTTCAGTTAGTTTCCTTTTTCAGCTTAGAGACACCTTTCCAAATTTCTCGGTCTAAGTTGCATCGTTCATCCTTAATTTTTTTCTCAGAATTCCTCCCATTCCAGATGGATGATTCAAGTACTGTTTTCGTGCTCTCGTCGATGATACATACTGTTAATTACCACGCAGTCAGGAAGGCCTTGTGGATATGATTGGCGAGCGAGTAGCGTTGAAACATTGATCGCAATTTCGAGAACAGCCAGTGGGCTAGCGGGTCGTATGGAAATAAATTGTGTAAATCGGCAGCGTATTGTAGATTTTGTGTTTACGTATAACAGTCATGTTCGGTCATCATCAAAAACGATGTGAATCTAAGATCAGTGAAGTTCGGAATAAGGCTGTTGAAGATAGCATCAACTGTGCGGCGTTCCGTCTCTTCATTGGCGGTTCACTATTGCCATCGTTTGCCCATATGACGAGGATGCCAAGGAAAGAGTTGCAGACCTTACTGTCTTTCCAGAAATTTAAAAGAACGGCATAAGGGCAGACAGCGGACCAAGCAGCTCGGTTATGTAGAAAACTGGACGTTGTCGCGCTTTGAAATGCACAGCATTGTGCTTGTCGTTTTGCCTACTAATCAGGACCACCAGAAACTCCTCCTGAAGCATTTACTCTCCGGTCTAGAAACGTTGAACGGACGCTGAAAATAATCCGATGATCCATTTATTTCGTCGTTCGGCCTACAGCATACAAGGCACGATCTTGCCGTGTTCAAGAACGAAAACGAAAGAAAGTTGCGAAATGTTTAGTGGTGATTTATGATGTATGGTAAGACTTCCGGCTCTGCCACAGAATTTTGTTTGAGTTTGCGTTTGTGCTCTATGCACTCTTTCGAATTTAATTGCTGCTACTCACACGTTCCCCCTTTTCTCGATTCCTTACTTTCGTCGCTGTCGAAAGGTGTAGATTTGTGGTTTGCCTGTTGGGGGTCATCTGTACGGCTTCAGTGTTTGCACATCATTTAAGCCATTTAGTTTAGATTCATTCATATGCAGCTTTCCTTTCGCAGTTTAGCTTGAGCTACTGTTAGCGTGATATTTTAGATTGCCGGAATGATGAATATGGAAGTGCTGAAAATGCCGATAGGTTTCATCCGCATTATAGAGTTTGTAAGTTTGTTGTTGGCAGAGGATGTTTGTTTTCATAACTTTCTTTTTTGTTTCAGCCCATGGCCATATTGGCATTTTCGACCACTGCTGGTTATTGGGCTACATTAACCGTCAAAGCACAGTGCAAAGACAGTGCTCTACCAACAAGTCGACAATATGTCTGGGGTTATCCTTTTAAGTAAAAACATGCCAGGT